TAAAGCAATTCTGCCCTCCTTTCATACCCCATTCTTTGCCCCTGAACATAAGTTTACAGTAATTATCAAAATGATATATATATATATATATATATATATACACACACATATATATAGTTTTTTAAAAAATAAAATAAATACTAAGTTTAGATATATTACCTGTGATGAGTTGCAGTCATACTCATGAAATATGATTGGGTCCTGGTATGATTGATATGAGTATACAACCAATTTGACCATATTTCTAGAACCATATTGTAACCTTGGTGGTTATCAACTATGTTGTATTGTTTGGGTTCTTCAAATGATCCATTCCTAACAAAAAGAAAGACATTTCATAATCCATCAACTAAAACCAGCAAATCTAATGTAGCATTAGAAGTACGAACTCACAATATTTTCAATTCAGGCATTCTCCACCAGAGGTACGAGTTAAAGACTAGTACATCTGCATTAACCCAATGTTTAGCATGTTTCTCTATGGATTCAATTCGAACTATACGATCATTTGTTTTATGCATTGATGGATGGTCAGCATTAGATTCCACCAACAATGGAGCCCAATAAAAATCAACTGAAACATTGTACTCCTATAAAAAAATAATGACATAATTAAAACGTGTCAAATAAGAAAAGAAATGAAAGCATGAACTCCATATGCATAATGAACCTTTTGTGAAGGAAATTAGCATTGAAAATGTACAAAACAATGAACTCCACAACAACAAAGGAAATGTTTGGGTGTATAACTTTTTTAATCACTTTATAACCTGGGGAAAACATTATGGTATTAACGACATGTATCTTATGTAATAAAAGTTAGTATAAACTACATTAAAATAAAACATATTTAGTTTTGGTTCATATTTAAAAAACATACTTTTAAAAGCTACATCTTGATAAATGTACTACGTCTTTGAAGCAATTAAGTGAACATAATATAAGTTCATTTAAAATAACTTATTTAAGTTTTGTAAAAAAAAATTCATTTTTAAATTTTTATTATTGAACTTTTTTGTTTGAGAAGCATATTGTGGTAGACATCAAAATGGAGATCTTGTTAGGTTCACAAAAATAGAAATAAGAACATAATACATTTTATTTTAATGCAACTTATTCCAAAAGTCGTATGTGTGTGTATATATATATATATAAGGGTTCAAATAAGAACATTTATAAAGTAATAAACATTTACATTACATGTGATTTTATCATAAAAATCATGTGACTAATGAACAGTCAACCTATGAGGGTGCACGTTTGGCCTAACGACCTCAGAGGTTTGACCATTCCTGCTTCCTTAATCACATGGTATAGGGAATCTTGTGTTCCTTACTTTGACCATGTTTTCTTTTGAATATCTCTCTCTATACATACATACATATATATATATACACACACATATACATATATAGGTCGGTTCATGTGAGAACCATAAAATTGAGAACAATTGATACATTTACACTAACGAGTTTCAGTGAATATATGCATCAATGTATATATAGTTACATACATATTAGATATGTATTGATGAATATATTCATTGACCAAATACATATTCGGATTATATATATGCATAAATGAATATACATGTTCTCACAGTTCTCTAATATTTTTTTTATTAACCTGAATATCCAACCCGCTATGCGAACGGACTAATCCCAGGGCGACCACCTGCTTTCCAGATAGCCTAGAGTCACCGCATTTGAACCTCCGTGGCCACAAAGGTATTTTTATTCCTCCTTGGATTTAAACCTAGGACCTCCTGGTACTTTTGACATTTGGAGTCAAGCTCAAACCAATCAGGCACTACCTTGTGGTGCCTAATTGGTTAATTTGGTTCTCACATGAACATGAGTATAGGTGATAATCAAATGAAAACCTCAAAAAGGTTACAAACCCTTTAGAACCGATATAAAATATCTTTTTACGTGATTGTTTCATCAAATATTATGATTTAAAATATACTTTTACGTATGTTTGTGTTCACATTGTGAAAAAATACATGTGGACTTTTTTGTTCATATAGTGAAACGAAATATATATGTAAATTTTTTTGACAATTGTGAAACAAATACTTGTGAAACTATCATATTGTGAAACAAGTGTGTGAGAAACAATACCTTAAAGACCTAACATTTGATAAAAATGATGAAAAAACAGATTTAAATCGATTTTCATGGGTTTAAACTTTTTTATAGTTCTCATTTGATTTGCCCCACATATATTTATAATATATATAGGTGGAGGTTCAAACAAAATATTTTCATTTTACGAAAACACAAGAACACTCTTATCACATGTGATAATACATGTGAGGGACCTTGTGGTGTGCAGACGATTTAATCCATGATCTAGGTTGCGTCTTTGATTTTGTATCACATCAAAAACACTCTTATCACATATAAAAATACAGTGATGGGGCATAGTGACTTGTGGGCGACTTGGCCCACAACCTAGGTCACACCATAGGTTATTTGTGTCACCGATTTAATATCACATGTGATGACTATAGTAAAAGATTGCGCTTGTGTTTTGTAACAACTCGTCCCACATTGATAAATGTGAGAATTGTTAGCTCCTTATAAGTCTGAAGTAGTGGGCTACCAATAACTTCCACCATGGTTTTAAGTTGGATTCGAAGTTATTGGGCTAGTTCGTTGCTTTGGGCTTTGAGATGTTACAAATGGTATTAGAGCCGATCCTTGTACCATCAGGATGGTGGGGCAAACCTCATCGGGTATGATGAGTCCTCAAGAGGGGGTGTTTGTAACATCTTAGGCAAATCTCACATTGCCGATGACCAAGAGGAAGATTATGGATAAGCCTGATGAGGACGTCAGGAGTTTAAGTGGAGTACTTTGTAACAACTCGTCCCACATTGATAGAATGTGAGAATTGTTAGCTCCTTATAAGTCTAAAGTAGTGGGCTACCAATAACTTCCACCATGGTTTTAAGTTGGATTCGAAGTTATTGGCCTAGTTCGTTGCTTTGGGCTTTGGGGTGTTACATGTTTTCATAAAATGATAGTGTTCTCGTTTGAGTTATTTCATATATATATATATATATATATATATGTATATATATATAGAGAGAGAGAGAGAGAGGGGAGCGATCAAATGAAAATCACTCCAATTTGTAAAAACCATAAAAACTACTCTCATCTGTCGTTAATCTTATGAAATTTTTTCATGAAATTTTTTCATGAAATTGTTAATCTTGTGAAATTATTTCATATAATACTTTTTTTGATGAAGTTGTTTCATATGTGGTTATGAAATTGTTTCATATATTACTTAATGAAATTTTAATGAAACTGTTTCATGTATTTCTCTAAAATTAAAATAATGAAGATGATAATATCCATGATTAACACCCTTCATAATAAAAATGNCATAATAAAAATGGTTAATCAACCTCTCATAATTACAAAAAAATGAACAAAATGAAAAATTATGATTGGTTGAATGAGGTTTTCACGATTTTTACAAATTGAGTGGTTTTTATTTGAACCCACCAAGATATATAGGGTTGGGTTCCGATGAGAAGAGAAATTATGGTGAGAAGCTTAAGAAGAGATATTCACCACTGGATCAATTCTAATTGTATGTCAACACTAATGAGGTGCACCAAGATACAACAGATCAATTCCCTTATAAAGACAATTCATGGATAGACATGAAATTAAAAGTGATCGAGGGTTCAAATCTTTTCTTATGTTTCTCACCGTAACTTTTCTTCTCATACGATTATTCGCATATATATATATATATATATATATATATATCTCAAAGGTTTAGATACAAAGTTTGAAATTCTTACAAATCATACAAACCATAATTATCACTTACATAAGAAAACAATTGAGATAATTATGGAAGATGATAAAATTTATTTGTTATGATAATTGTTTTAGATTAGAAAACAATTGAAATATATATGGAACTAGATATTTATTAGGATAGATGGACGGTTAATTGGTTCGTATGATTTACATGAAGTCAATGGTTTGTAACTGAAACTTCATATATGTATGTATATATGAAGATATACATAGGGGAGAGATCAAAATGCAAATCAAGTCATTTGTATAAAACTGTACAAAACTCATTCAATCAATCATAATTTTTCTATTTTCATTTTTTTAGTTAAGAGGGTTGATTAATAAATTTTATTGTGGAATAGTTGCCTTTTTACATAGATAGAAAAAAAATCATGTAAATTAACGTATCAGTTCTTAAGGTTATCCCAATTTCATGGTTCCTCAAAAGAAGATACTGAAACCAACATAAACAAATTACATTATTATAAACACAAATTTTAATGAACCTAAAATTTAGATTATATCTAGATTATGAGATTATGTATATAAGTTGTTATTGCATAAACTTTTATCAATAAATAATTTAACAAAAAATGTGAAGTATATGTTTTTATATAGCTTGTATACATTTATCACTACAATAAAATTGATTTTATAGAACATATAAAATGTAGAATTGTTCTAGAAAATACTTTATATGACTTCAGTTTATATAATCAAAACAAAAAGTGTCTTATCTAAAAGTGTTATAGTATATTTGTAGAACGTTTTTAAATCTTTTAACAAGTTTGGTAACACTTTTAACATAAAATGTCGTATTAACTATTTTACACGACAATATCTAAAAAAGTATATTATAAACACTAGTGTCCTATAAAAAGTGAGTTTATATGACGTTTCTCAAAAACTTCCTATAAAATAGCTAATATGATACTTTATTTTAAAAACATTCTAAAAACTTATTGTAACACTTTTAGATACGATATTTTATAAGTAATTTGGTTCTATAAATCTAAGTTCTACAAAATATTTTATTAGGATGCTTAGACAGTTTAAATGTTTTATATATCCAATTTTGTTATAGTATATATTTTTTTAAAATGCATACTTTAAATGTTTACTGATATAAATATGGATTTCGTCCATGTCATGTGTATTTTAACGGTTTATGTTTCTTAACTTCATTTAATAGGTTTTTGATCTGATGTTTGTTCATTTCCAATAGATTTTGTGTCCAAAGACCATTAATTTTATTCCTAATGTCTAATTAAATGAAGAGTATTTTAGTTATTTTAATTTGTTAGCAGCTTAATAAGTTTAATGGAACTAACAATTAATTCGCTAAACTATGCATGACTATTCTGTAGTGGTTTAATGATATAGAAAGTGACTTACCAAGTAAAGGGAACTTTATATAGAAAGCCAAGTTTTTTTTCCAAAACATGTTACTTACAACTAAAAAAACGCTCTTTACATCTGGGAAAAAACTCTTCCAAACAAAAACTTTTCCAACTTTTTTCTACGATGTGCATTCAATATTCATCACTACTAGGTCTTGAGTCTGTTTTTATAGTTAAAGCTTAGTTGTCCAATTCCTAAATTATTAAACTCAAAACTAGTAATAAATGACAACTTAATGCCTTTTTAGATAATATATTTATGTTAATAATGTTATATATACATATATACATCAATCATCCACTACCACGTAACTTCCATCACCCTCCACCATGATCTACAAATCCACGCACATTCTATATCTCAAGAAAATCAAATTTCTCAACTCTCAAGAATGAACATGACAAAATCCTAAATTAAAAACTTAAATCGAAACTTCAAAACCAAAACCCCAAAACTCAAATCTTTATTTCCATTGTTTTAAATATATAATTAATTTGTTATGTGTGACATTAATTATATAAATTTTGATATAAATTTTTTATGAAATAAGTAAATAATAAAACTATGGTTGGTTTTAGGTTGTTTATTAGTTGATTTCTAAGTGTATTGGTTGCTTCCAAGTACAATACAAGCGACAATTAAAGTATTAAACAAAAAGGGAACAATGTATGGGATGTAAAAAGTATGTTAAGAGACATGGTCTCCCATCCTTTCTTCTTTTCTTCCTTTTGGATGTATCATATATATGCATTGTGTGGTGGTTCAATAAAAAAAGGTAATACATATTTTCATACTATTCTAACTCTTTCTAAGTTTTTCTCTCTAAGATTCAAAATGTTAAGAGACTTTTGAGAAAGAGTTATTGAGAGAAAAAAATGAGGGGATACATACTTGGTTTTTATTTCTAAGGTAGATATAAAAACACACTAGTTTGGGTTGCAAGGAACTAGCATTCAAACAAGAGGTCACTTGGCGTGGATCAACTTTGGAGGAAGATCGTTTTTCTTCTCTACCCGACATCAACGTTCAAGCTTCAAAGGTTGTAGTTCTAAAACCCACTATGGTTGTGTTTTTCGTTTTTTCTAAGTTCTTTAGTGCATGAGATCCTTGTTGGGAGTTTTTGTGAAAATCATTGTAGGTTTATTTTATGCTTCCATTGTATCTTTGATAATATTGTTTTAAAGTTTCCTATAAATCTCATCAATACATATAGGGTTAAATCAAATGATAACCAGGAAAAAGTTTCAAACCCGTGAGAACTGATCTAAAAATAATCTTTTACATGATTTTTTTCCATCAAATGTTAGGATTTCAGATATTGCTTCATATATATTTGTTTTATAATATGATAGTTTCACATGTATTTGTTTCACCATATAAATATTTTTATGTGTATTCTTTATATCACTAGGAAAATAAAAAAGTTTCACATGCAATTTTTTTCATAAGATGAACACAAACATATATGAAACAATATGCTAAATCATAGCTTTTGATCGAAAAAATAATAATGTAGAAAGGTATTTTTATATCGGTTCACACAGGTTTATAATATTTTTGTGGTTCTCATTTTATTATCGTCCTATATACATATATATTATATATAGATTTGTTATTTTAAGCCACGTCTTGGAAAACGTCATGGCCTCGCCGTGACTCATAAGACTTAAGGCTTGACCTCTCCGCCACACCACGCCATACCACACACCATTTAGAACCTTGTTTTATATAAAACATGTTTCATTTATAAAGGGATGAACATTTGACCACTAAGTCACACAACACTGATACGACCTAGTAATGGGAGAACGGCAGGCGTAGACTGGTCAACCCAGGAAATGTCAGTGACAAAATGACCCGCACCCGTGGAAGCAATTTCTGGGATCTCTTCTTTTAGCATTAAATGTTTTCAAAAATTGCATAATATTTTATACAGAGTTACATGTTTAATATACTTTTTATGATATGATTTTATTCATGAAAATCATGAACTCCTTAAGAGTTGTAAGCTGGCTATAATATGCATTTTTAAGACAAGAAATTTACTATCAGACAAGGGCATGAGGCATGCTTAGAGCCTTTGCCATTTTTAAGCCGTTTTAACAGGGTCGTCCGTGGGGGAAGCATGGGCGCATGCCCATGGCCTAAAAATATTAGTGGTCCAAAATTTTTCCTTAGTATATAGTATTAGTCTAAATATAATACATATAAAGAGACCCAAAAAATTGTAGCACATAATAAGAGACAAAAAGAATTTAATATATAATAAGGGTCCAAAAATATATTAACTAATTATATTGGAGAAGAAAATCAAAAAAATATTTAATTGATTATTTGTTATATGTTATTACTTATTGTCTCTCTAATATCTTTTATCTGGTACCCTAAGGTGTAATGCTATTTGCTATTGATATCTCTATATGTTTAACTGTTTCATGTTTCAACAATTCAACGGATAACAATTTTTAAGCTCATGTGTTTGCTATTGTTATATGTTTTTGTTGAATATTTTTATCTATTTCTGCTTCTACTGATTATTATTATTTGCTTATGTTGTTTGCATAATTGTTTTGTTGGCTATTGCTATCTATTCTTGCTTCTATATATGATATTGTACCATTGTTTGACGATCTATCTATTGTGCTTATGAGTCATGACGTATTTCATGGTTTTGTGATTAATCAATAAATTTTTAGTACTAAATATATACAATAATGCATCTTATATAGGTCATGTTCCATAAAGTTTTAATGCTAACATCTTATTTTAGTAGAGTAAGAAAAAAAGAAAAAGGAAATTCAATTATTTTCATCAATTGTTTGACTTATTCATCTTTTATTGGGATTGCACTATAGACCAAAAGATTCTATGTAAGTGCTCAAGCAGCCATTCCTTGAGTGTGGAGAATATAGGTCTCATTCATTGTTTGTTCTTATTGAATCTCAATGAATAATCTTTTTCTTCCACATTCTTACCGATCCTCATTTCTTTACTTGTCTAGAAAACCTTTATGATATTTCTTTATCATTGTAACGTAACATGATACATGACGAATTAATGTATAAGTTACTTTATTTTGTGATGAATGTACCCTAGGAATGTCGATAGCGAAGAGTTTTGAATGATTATGTACAAATACTTATTTTATTATATGGTAAAACAAGGTTTTTTTGTATCACTAAAAGAAACACTTTTTTAATTAACTAGAAAGGTATTTGTGTAATGCTGTGAGATATATCTCGATTTTAACCTTTTATTTTATTTTGTTCTCTGTCGATGTTATAATACAGTTTTATGTGGTTTTGAGAAAAATAATAATATTTTTATTTTTAAATAAAATATAAATTTAAAGATATCTTAAATTTTCTATAAAAATATAAGGACATTAGTTTCAAATTAACTGTTTAAAAGTTCTTGTTTTGTTGTGTAATTTCTTTAATTCAATGTTTTTATTATAATTTAATTTAGATTTAATAACGAAGTAATTTATTTTTGATTGAATAATATAATTTTTATAAAAATAATAATTAAGTATTATGTTATAATACATTGATTATCTTAATTATATTTTAGATTTTTTATTTAAAATAAAATGTTTATCCAGTATTTGATTATGTTTATTTGAAGTTAGTTACACAAATTCAAACGTGGGGTTTTAATAAGTTGTACTTACGCATTATTTACTTGTAATCTTGAATTTTAAGTAATATGTATCAATAAACAGTATTTCCTGTATAAAAGATAATTTCTAAAACTTTTTGTCAAATGTCTTATAATATAGTATAGATTATCTTACTTTATTTTAAATTTTTATTGCAAATAATAATTATAGTTTACCACATTTCGTTAAATACATATTTAATATTTAAAAACACAAGAAATAGTGTTTTAGCAACGACTTTTACCGTCGATAAAAGTCAAATTATCGTCACAAACGGTTTATAGAGATGATATACCGTCCTATAGCTTCTTGCTGAAACATGTCGTTGCTAAATTACCTTATATACCGAAAGCATGAAACTCGTTTTTCTAGTATAAAATGAAAAGATGGGCAACATGTACACAAATGTTACACTATTGTCTTGTCAAAATAGCAACATGGTTTTTACGATCAAAATCAACAGAAAATAGTGGTTAAGATGGCTTAATTTTAAATTCGTAGTTTGATATTTGCTTTTCAGCTGTTATTTAGTTTTGAAATTAAAAATAAATTTAATTTATTAACAAATAACAAATAATATTATTATGTGAGAAGGGATGAATCACTCACAAGTGCCTTGAAGGTGAGCAAGGAGACATTACGGACTTTCTGCATTCTCTTCTTTCCAAGAGGGATGACTGATTGAAGCATACAAACCATTGACAACCATTGGTTCCTATTCACCGAATCCCCTACGAAAATTACCCTTTTACCCTTCAACTTCTCCAAAACTTCTTTTCCGTCAAACCTACGTACACATACAATCAACAGTATAGTTCAAATTAAGTACAAATTGCATTGACAACACATAGACGCTTAATCATATATGATTATTAAACACACATTCAAAGAAGTGTAATCATATATGATATTAAAACTTCTCGACTTCTCATAAAATGTTTAACTTCTCGCATGATTCTTCCTCCCTCTACAAGCTATATATATATATATATATATATATATATATAGAAAGAGAGAGATAGAGAGAGAGAGAGAGGGGGGGGGTTGACCTTGAAAGGTTACATGCATGGGGTTGCCATCTCCATTGTTGATAGTTTGAATCCATTCTTCCATGTTGTTGACAAGCAAACTCACCAGTAATATAGGGACATTCGAGTTCTTTGTAGAGAGGATAAGAGTGGTTGTCATGGACCCATTTGCCAGAGAACAAATCACACCCATCCAATGAATCATAATTAACATAAGCAGCGGTAGTGTTAACAACTAGTGGGGGTGGGGGAGGACTACTCTTGTCTTCTTCATACATGGTATAACAAAAGGCTATTATTGTGGCAATTATGAAGAACATGATGACACTGCTTTCAAACATATGCTTCACATCCCATATTCCTATCAACTGTTTCTTCTTCTCCATCTCTCACAGTACGTAGTCTCGCTACCTATCTGAATCTGATTAATTATAATTAAGATGATCTAAGAATGCATTAAGATTGATGAAATACCCCATATCTTCCCATTTAACCTCTCAACCATGCAAACGTATGCGTTACGGAGGTGTACAGCATGGTACTGCGTGCCTCCAATTTTCAATAATTATATTACATGACACTCTTAAGTCAATTGTTCCCATTTTTCATCTGCAATTTGGTGATAAACAATGTGAAATTACGATATTGGATTTTTCAAATATAAACCATGTATAATATTGAAATAAATCATACACCAATCAATGGAAATTATGACCCTTCATATATTATCGTGTGTGTATTTATGAAACATGATTAAAGTTTATTAATTAATTATGATCGATATTTTATTTTTGAAAACAATCGAGGTATTTATAAAACGACATAATCATTAGAATAGATGGACGATTGAGATTAAATGATTTTATTTAACTGTCCACTGCTGCTTTGGAGTAGCCTAACCTGTAACAAAGCATCAGACCAAAAATGGGAGCTCTGGCTTCTGCAAATGTGTTGCTACGTGGCCAATAAAAGGTAGAAAATGCAATCAAAGCGGAGACATTATGTACGAATTACACGGGTTGCATTTCAATTTTTTTTTCTTCTCTCTCTCTACACATACACATATATAAAGGGTTGGATTCCTGTGAGAATGAAAGTTATGGTAAAAAACATAAGAAGAGATATCCACATTTGAATCAATCATAATTGAATGTCAACAGTAATGAGGTACACCAAGATGCAGATCAATTCTCTTTTAAAGTGCAATTTATGGGTGGCATGAGATTAAAAGCGATCAAGAGTTCAAGTCTCTTCATACGTTTCTTATCTTAACTATTTTTCTCACACGATCCTTCACCCATATGTAGATATAGATATATGTATGTATGTATATATATATATATATATAGAGAGAGAGAGAGAGAGAGAGAGAAAGAGACAAACATAATTTGTTAACCAAGTAAATAGTGTTAACTCTACAAACTCATTTAAGTTGTTCATTTCTTTAATAAACGATTATGGTCAAATGAGAGGTTATAAAATGATAAAAAAAAAAGGGGGCGGGGGGAAATAAATAAATTGAATTAAATGGAGGAAATTTTAGAATAAATTGTTTTTCTTTTTAGAAGATAATCATGTTTTATTTTTTAAAGATAATCACCAACTACTCTCTTCTCCCTCCCTCTTGAAGTGTTGCATCGAACTTTGTTTAATATGGTGTTTGATTTATTTTTAGAAGATAATAATATTTTATATATATGGTATTTGTTCAAAGTTCATAACGTTGTTTCATCTATGATCTTTAACTTAATGGTTACAATTTTTTTATCGAAGTTCACGGGTCTAGAAAGTTTATAGGTGAATTACAATGATTTTTGTTTAAAGCCCATAATGTTGTTTTGTATCTGAATATGTTGTTCTAATTTTTTTTACCAAAGTTTACAACTGAAACCAGAAAGTAAATTAGATAATTAACGATATTTGAACAAAACACATGAGATAATTGAGGAATGTGGTATAAATTCATGAGAAAGACGAAAATACTCCTTGTAGCAAAGTTTGTACTAATTAGATAGTTAATTAACAAAAGAATGTGTCTATATTATATATATATATATATATATATATATATGGAGAGAGGGGGGGGTTGGATTCCAGTGAGAAGGATAGCTAAGGTAAGAAGCGTAAGAAGGGATCTCCACTCTTAGATACACATTAGGATGAGATGCACATAGATGCGATATACCGAGATTCACCAGATCTATTCTTGTATCAAACACGATTAATAGGTGGGTTCGAGATTAAAGGTGATCAAGGTCCAAATCCCTTCTTAAGCTTCTTATTTTAACTCTCATTCTTACACGATCTTTCGCCTAGATATTTATAGCCATAGGTTCATTTAAAAAGTGGTATGTATTTTAGAAGTGGAGAAGTGATCCTAACCCTATTTGGTGAAGATTTGTAGCTTTGACTCTGAGAAACCGGATAATACTCGCATGGTACGTGAAAGATAGAGGGGTTGTTTCGTAGCATATACAAATAGGCAGCAAAACAAGTGCATATGTGAACCCATGTGATTCACATATGAACTATATGTTCATATGTGAAACCTGTGTAATTCACATATGAAGTACTTAAATGATTCACATATAAGCTCGTGTGATTTACATATGACCCCGTGTGATTCACATATGAACTATTAACTTATTCACATATGAACTAATTAACTGATTCATATATGAACTAATTAACAGATTCACATATGAACTATGGGTTCACGTATGCAATTGTTTGTCGCCTATTTGTAAAAGTTACGAAACTATCCCTCTATTTTTCAATTGACCAGTCAAATCCGTAAATATTGACCAGTCAAAGCTGCAATTCTTGACCAATCTTGACCGTATGAAGGGCTAAGATGATTCATTTACTTCTCAAATAAACCTCTCCCTATATACATATATATATATATATGTATGTATATACACACACACATATACATGGCCTAATCAAATGAGAACTAGATAGCTTGTGGTAACAGTGATGTCCAATATGAGTCAATCATTTTAGATAATTAATGTTATTTACTAAAATAAAACAAAGGGTAAAGTAGTAAATTTTACAACTTATAAAACCCTAGATGTTAAATCTTTTGGAATTTGAAATTCCAAATAAATTTGATCGGTCGTTTTTTCATCCTCCCTTAGTACCCACTTCCAAAAGCTCCACATGCTCCGTCTATATCAACCATTCTCGCTGCTTGATCTCAACCATTCCCGTCGCTCGATCCCAACCATTTTCTCCGCCGATCTCAACCATTCTCGCCGTCGATCGCAACCTTTCTCTACCAATCTCAACCATAGCGACGCTGAATGGAGAGCTGCACATATCTGGTTTCTACCATTAACTTCGTCGCATCTCAACCAGTTCAATGGCTTCTTCCAATCGAGAAAAACAACCTAGATCGGTTTCGGTTAATATCAACATAGATCTGGTTTCTGCATACCCAGATTGGTTTCAGTTTCTAGTTTTTGCACAGATCTCATTTTAGTGTAACCATATCTTGGAGGAAATGTAACCCATATATCATTGGAGATATAACGCCGAAGATGTAAGGTTTTCTTGGATGCAACCTATATATCGTCGGAGATGTAACGTTGGTGTAATATAGTGGTATCACAGTTGTATTCATCAACTAGATCTAGTATCATAGTGGTATGATAATGTATATCACAATGTCTTTTTGTTATTATATGAAGTGTATCACAATGTAGCATGTAATGTTGCTTTACTAAGTGTATCATACTGTGTTTTTTCGTTATTTTATGAAGGGTATCACAGTATGCATCATGTGTTTAACATAATAAAGTTCACATGAATAAGGTTCGCTGGAGAGAGGAGAGATGAGAGATAAATTTTTTAAAATGCCTAAAATGCTCTTTAATTAAAAATTTTAGTCAAATTACCAAAATGTTAGTTTCTTAATTTAACCATTGATTTGCGGTTGAGATTGGATTTCACAGTTATCATAAACTAACCAGTTCTCTCTTAAATAACCCCTTACAAATACACACACACACACACACACATATATATATATACATACATATACATATATATATATATATACACACACATATACATATATGTAGGGGTGCTCAAAAACCCGACCAACCCGATCAACCCAACCCAACGCGAAATAACCCAATCCGAAGCAACCCGAAGTCTAATCGAGTTATAAAATTGTCAAACCATAGGTATTGGGTTGATATTGGGTTAATATTATTTGAACCCAACCCAACCCGATGAACCCGATATCCTTTTATTTCTTGGATTTAATATGATTGTTGAATTTCTACTAATATCTACATAAGACAATTACACTATCATGTATGCTTTTGATATACACATATTTTTGATCTATTCATATCTCTATATAACTCATTCATATATATGTTCAATAACTGTAAACAATTGAGAAAATTAACTAAATGTGATACACTACTAGAAAACTGGGCATTTCCGGCGGATCCAGCGGATTTCCGGCGGTATTTTAAAAAGTCAACTTTTGTTGACTTCCGCCGGAAATCCGCCGGAA